GGGTTCTGGGTGGCCTTTTATGTGAGAGAACGTCCAATGAGTGTGGATGCTCTCTTTCAAAAAAGCAGATTGCTTTTTCGATGCGCTTTTGAGGTGTGGATGCTCCTTTTGAAAGAAGATTTTTTGGAAGATCTCTTACGAAAAAGCTTCTTTTGAAAGAAGCTTGCAGTCTAGACGTACCCTTAGTTATTAGTCATTCCATTTTCGGTGTTTGGTTTTAGATGTTTTCTAAGAAACTATCCACCTAATCTTTCTTGGTAAACCAAAAAAAGAAATTGTTCTAAATAATACCAAAATAACAAACTTAAACTGTTTTGAGAACTTGCATTTTGTCAGTCACAAGAACACAAGGAACACACTAATCCACTTGAAACAGACATAATTCTTGCATGCTCTTAAAGCAAGCAGCATCTCCATCTCTGTTTAATTCACTCTGAATTGCTTTTCCTTTCCTTACCTCATTTTATTTTAATAGGAAAACTCCAACCTGATATTGGCCAAGTTCTGGGGAAAGCTGAGAGCAATTTGATCAGTGATTTCTTTAGACTTCATGTATATCTGGCATGGTATTTTAAGCATATTAAGATAAATAATTACAGCTAAAACTTTTTTTTTATATATTACACAGAGCATGACAAAAAGACATTTAGGAGGCTAGTTGGAACAGTTGTGTAAAGAACATTATATTACAGGGAGTATTAGAGAAACTTGTAGTTGCTCTCTCCCCTCCTCCAAACACACACACAAACAAAATATCACTTTTTGAAAATGTCACCAGTCAGCTTTGAAAATGCTATTGGATTTTTTTATTTTTTTTTTTTTTTTTTTTGCATACTTAAGGTAAGGAGGATTTGAAACTTGTGCCTCATAGTGGAGATGCGAATGGAACTTTTTTGCCTGTAGTTCCATAATATTTTTAGTATATTTTCACAGCATTATACAAAGGTTTTCTGTGACAAGGTTGTTAATTAAAGACCAGTTTATGCCCAGATTCTCAATTATGCTCCAACGGTCTCCTTACACCACTTTGGAAGTGAAAATTGTTTACTCACTTGAAATCTCTTATACTATAAGACCGGTACAAAGTAGTTTCAATGTCAATGACAATAAGTCCCCATTTACTTTATTTGGAGGCAGGTGAGTGTTTGAGTTTTGGTTATTTAGCATAAGTATTAAACTATTGAGAAGACTGATTCATTTGAAAAATTTCTCAACCTTGATGGAGGGGGCAAATGCAAGCAATTTTTGTAAACGAAGTACATACTTTATTGTACTGTATGCCCCTAAATTTTAATCCTTTTGTATAGCTTTCTAAAATTCTCTCTTAATGCTTTTATATTGCCCAGGATAAAAAACGATATAAGAAAACTGTGAAAAAATGTTGCACACTTCGATACGATACCATATCAATGTGGTGTGTTGAATTTATTTATAGAATAATGTGAGTGATACAATTTAATGGAACATAACCATATCTCCAAGTATATTTAATCTAAATACTTGTCAAACCCCAACCTTTTTACACATTGTTCACAGACAAACTCAGGGTATGTCTACACTACCCCGCTAGTTCGAACTAGCGGGGTAATGTAGGCATACCGCACTTGCAAATGAAGCCCGGGATTTGAATTTCCCAGGCTTCATTTGCATAAGTGGGGAACCGCCATTTTTAAATCCCCGCTCGTTCGAACCCCGTGCCGCGCGGCTACACGCAGCACGAACTAGGTAGCGCGGCTACACGGGGCTCGAACTAGGTAGTTCGAACTAGGCTTCCTATTCCGAACTACCGGTACACCTAGGAAGCCTAGTTCGAACTACCTAATTCGAGCCCCGTGTAGCCGCGCTGCACGGGGTTCGAACCAGCGGGGTTTTAAAAATGGCGGCGCCCCGCTTATGCAAATGAAGCCCGGGAAATTCAAATCCTGGGCTTCATTTGCAAGTGCGGTATGCCTACATTACTCTCCTAGTTCGAACTAGGAGGGTAGTGTAGACATACCCTTAGATATATAGAAAGTTGTTCTGGTCTTCTATGTGGTGAAGAGGGATTTTAGATTAATTCATTATTAATAAGATAACTATAACAGGGAATCTTATGTATGCACCAAATAGTTATTTTCATTATATATTTTATCAATTACACTTATAAAGTATATATATTGTTGCCTGCAACAAGTTTGCTTAAAGCCTGCACTTTGCCTATGTTTATAACTGAAATTTTCATGTGAGTCTGCTTCTGATTGCTAGTTAGCTTTTGCTTGCAAAACAAACACTGCAGTTAGAAATGGTGGCAAACAGATTTGTATTTAATGTAATTTGACTTATCAAAATAGTTATATATAATATCATTATAAATCTGTGAAAAGCACGTGGAGGTAACCAAGGATATGGTGCCAACTCTTTTTACAGTTGGGGTCTTCTGCAATATTTCTGTTGAACTTAATAGGAGTAGGATACTGTTATACAAATCTACTTTAAATGGGCATAAAAATCCTGTTCATGATTTATCTTTGTCTATCTTAGTTAAAGTATATTATATCATCTCCACTAATGTCAGGTAGATATGGGGAATCTTTCAGCCTTCAGATAATTTGAAGTAATGAGGACAATAGCTTGAGCCATATTTCTGAAATATGGTTACACTTCTAATGAAAAAGTACATTTTTGCATAGAACATGCCTTTCTTTCTTTTTCTTAAACAATACTTTGATATAGATATTAGGATAATGCAGGTCTACTGGGGAGACTAAGAAGGCAGAATGAGCTATAAGAGGCTGAAAAGATCAAAAGGACAGCTGTGGGTAAAGAAAAAGAAAGTTGGTGAAAGTTTAATTGGATGCAAAAATGTAAAATATTCTTATTATCCATTCATGATTCCCTTCATACTAGTGCATAAGGCCAAGGGAAGTACTTTACATCTTCATAAAGGGACTTTAAGGTAGAGCTAGCTCTGAATGAGGGTGAATGTGTGTATGTACATGCCAGAGACCCTCCATTTTCTCATGCCAATTATCTATAGAAAGATAGATATAGATATAGATACAGGCAGTCCCCGACTTACTCGGATCCAACTTATGTCGGATCCGCACTTACGAACGGGGCTTTTCTCGCCCCGGAGCTCGCGGGCGGCGGGACCGCCCAGAGCGCAGCGG